TGCTCGCACTGATTATATTGTGTGCAAAGCTTCAAAACTACAGCACATTTTGTAAATAACATGAAATATAAATATCAAACAAAATTTGAATTATAAATAGTATAAATACTATTGAAATTTAATACAACGAAGTAGCAACCATTGTGAAGTACGCATAAGATTCAACATGACATTCAACATGACATTCGATGTAGTGTAAATTAACTCATTTCAATCACTCAAACGTCAAAATGATAAATAATAATTTTCAATCTATAATAGTAATTCACCGTTTCCACGGGTTTTTTATACCTTTATACCTTTAAAAATTTACAGTAAAGCTAAATCTATATGAAATAACGTTATTTAGTTATAAATTTGTAAAGGAAATCTAACAGTCAATCGCTTTCGATAAAACCTTGACCCACCTTGACCTTGTTAATGTTATTATTACCGTCGCTTGCAACTAACTATGAACGGTCGCTTATAAAAACATTGCCTATTCGCGTGTTTCTGCTGGGGTCTACACCGTAGGCTAATTCACGTGAGAATCTTAAGTTTTCTTATTTTGACATAATAGCTATTTTTCAATAAATATATTGATATCAAGCTTATTGAATCAATATTTCAAGTTGTACCAATTAAAGGTTATAAGCGCTACAGCGCATCGTAAGTTTCAGATGGCATGCAACTGCGTACCTATTTTTACACTCTTTGTGGTCAGATTTAGTAGATAATAATAATAATAATATGTATTTCTGTAGATTTAGTAGATGTTGTATTTCAATCTTTATCTATTTTGACTATCTTTTTGAAATCGCAAGGTCTGGGTTATATATCAGGCTATCCTGCACGAGGAATTAAAATGCCTTCGCGGGATTTTCGCGGGATTCTTAAAATGTCATTGTTTCACTGTAGTTATTTTATAAAACAATTACCAAATGGTTTACCAAGCAGGATAGCGTGATCCATGCACTTGGGATGTTGCTCGACTTTCGGAAAGCGTAAAAATACACTCGCCTGCGGTTCGAGTATTTTTACGCTTTCCGAAAGTCTCGCGACATCCCTCGTGCATGGATCACGCAATCCTGCACGGAAAACCATTCGGTATTCCTTTAATAAGTTACTTATTGTTTACAGAAACGTTTTCAGGTCGAGATTGTCTTGTGCTGAGATCACAATGTGTGCCACCATACGTGATTTTCCTTATTTTAATGCGATTAACCGCTGAGGAGTGTGTTTGTGGGCGTACGTACGAGAAAATTAGAAAAATCGACTTCCTCAGATTTTTTACATCAAAAGCCTCTGCGAAGGGAGAGAGCTTACACTGAAAATTCTTATATTTTTGGATTTTGTTCCCTGGAAGGGAAATCCATTTTCTAGACCTGGTCTCCATTTAGTTACAACTGCTATGACCAAATCATGGTTGATGATATGAAATACTCTGGATCTGTGTTGTGTGCTGCATGCAAGTTGTGCCAGAAATGTATATCACGTCCAGTGCACCTCGACATGCCAGTAATCGGCAAGAACAAATGCAAACCACATTCTGGTCAAAAAAACCTTGGCACATTTAGTAAAAATAGCAACTTCCCATTTTGAAATTGCTCTCAATTCCACAATTCTGTTCATGAAATGTAATTTTTGATATGTATGGATTGCTTGAGTTCTTAAATTATGGAAAATATAAAAAATTTTGAAAATAGTAAATTTTGCTATCCAGGGGAGTGGTCAACTTTTGCTCCCCTAAAAGTGGCTTGCGCACGGAAATGACAAACGGTATTCTTTATTTGAGTTCATGTATGAAAAGTTCGCTCTTTGTTGCATTTATGATAAAATTTCGGCAGGATTTTACCGAGTACAAATCCTCCGAAAAGCCTATGAAAAAGTTACATTTTTCTCCGTTGGTGCTGTTCTTGCTTCATTATGAATTCATTTTTACTCCCATGAGAGTTCCATGGAATTTCCATGGAATTTGTGCTTTCGAGTTTTTTGTGCTGGAACGCATTTTCTCGTATAATACCCCGTACATTTTGAAATGGCGATGCCACAATTTACCCCGCAGCAGAGAGCTTTTATGGTATCGGAGTTCCTCCGTAGCAACAACATAAACTTGGTTCGCCAAAGTTTCACGAACGAATATCCAGATGTACGATGCCCTTCACGTGCGAATATTTATTACAATGTTAGGAAGTATCGTGGTAACGGGACGAGTTGTAAATTGAACAAGGGTAATGGGGGTCGTCCAAAAACAGCGAGAAGTGCTGAAAACATTGAAGCTGTACACAATGCTATTGAAGAAGCCAACGGAGAGCGTTTGAATGGTGAAAGGCCGCGGTTAAAGGATATTGGCAACCAAAATTTTTATTGCTTCATCTGAAAGAGCATGAAAAAATAAGCCGGTTGGCCGTTTAATGCTCTATTCTATCTCATCTAGTTCCGAAGTTATACTAAAAAATGTGCAAAATATAAATTGCTGATTCAGCACAACGTGTGACGTCATTAGTTGGGTGAGTATGTTTATTGATTTGTTTGTTCGTTTGTTTGTTTGTTAAACTTTATTGAGTACAAATTAATTCAACAATTATTCATCTAACATACAATTAAAGAGCTGTACTCAAACGGACAAGGCACAAACTGGACGTAAAGTCCATTGCATGGTGCCCCTCCACTTCCTAACATAAACCTTTTAATTAATTCACAGTATACAGTACAGGGTGTACCAAAAAACCCCAAAACCACTGAAACAACGCACTGCCAGAATCCGAACGCCCCAGCACCAACTGAACGCAAAGATACGTAAATATGATGAATATTAAAAAAAAATAAAATAGAATAGTAAAAATAGTAAAATATTTGAATAGTAAACTAAAAGAATAAAAATTTAAATATAAATTTAAAATAAATATAAATTTACTATTGAATAGTAAACTAAAGCATAGCTAAGTTATTATTGGCTCAAATCAAATGAAATTTTGCATACAGATAGTACATGATGAGACGCATGGGAAAATACTTCTAATTTTGTTGTCAAGGCAACCCAGTCGTCCCCAGGCCCCTTGCACTGATTTTGAATAACTGGTTGCATTTATCTATGTGTATGTCATTTTCGAATTATTATCATGCAAGTAAACTTTTGGCATGCTTAGGTATGGTACACATACTTTTGATATTATTTTAACCATATCAGTACCATGAATAAAGCTGTTTTATAAAATTGGCGCAAGGGGCCTGGGAACGACATCGTTAACTTGGTAACAAAATTAGAAGCGTTTTTCAATGCGTCTTGATTTGGGCCCATAATAACTGAGTTATGCTTCAGTTTACTATTCAATAAAGATACTTACCCAACTAATGACGTCACACGTTCTGCTGAATCAGCAATTTATATTTTGCACATTTTTGCGTATAACTTCGGAACTAGATGAGATAGAATAGAGCATTAAACGGCCAACCGGCTTATTTTTTCATGCTCTTTCAGATGATGCAATAAAAATTTGGGTTGCCAATGGCCGAAACAGACTTGGTTTGTCTTCGGCAACCTTCAACCGGATAACACGTTTAGATTTGAGATTTCATCCTTATCAAATGATTAAACGGCACCAACTTCATCCAGGTGATCATCTGCGTCGACTACAGTTTTGCAGGTGGCTACGTGATCAGAACGACCGTTTTCTTGACGATTTACTCATCCGCGACGAATCAGGGTTTGCACTGAATGCTTCGGTCAACACCCGCAACATTCGAGAATACCAACCACGAGGCGAACAACCGGTAGATTTCCAATATCAGCGAAATTATGACCGACATAAGTTAACGGTTTGGGTTAATGGGAAATGGCACTGTTATCGGTCCCTTTTTCTTCCAAAACAACACTGATGGCTTAGATTACTTGCAGTTGATTGATGACCAAATTGTCCCTGTTTCCGTTATCGCAACATGCGTAATGTGCCATTTCGTCGAGTATGGTGGGCACAGGACGGTGCTCCTTGTCATAGGCGAAGAGAGGTAACTGCTAGATTGACCGAACTTTTTGGAGACCGGGTAATCGCAATGAATCGTGCCATGGAATGGCCTGCTAGATCACCGGATCTTACTCCGCTTGACTTTTTCTCTGGGGTTATCTGAAGAGCGAGGTTTTCGTAACGCCACCAGAAAATCTTGCAGAACTTGAGCGGCGAATCCGCGAAGAGACGAATGTACTCAGACAAGATCGAGCAATGATACGCCGTGCTGTTTTTGACATGGTTAGACGTGCTCAAGCTTGCACAGAACGAAATGGAGGACACGTTGAAGACTAAAACAATTCGTTTCTTTTTTGCCGTAAAATTTACCTTTGTTTTATACTCCAGATGTTAAATAAATGTCATTATTCAAAAGGATTTAAAAACATGCGCGAGTTTTAAATTTTATTTACTTAAAGAATTAAAATACATAATTGACATGACTCATTTAAAATCAAAATGCAAATGCAAATTTGTGAATTCATAATGAAGCAAGAACAGCACCAACGAAGAAAAATGTAACGTTTTCATAGGCTTTTCGGAGGATTTGTACTCTGTAAAATCCTGCCGAAATTTTATTATAAATGCAACAAATAGCGAACTTTTCATACATGAACTCAAATAAAGAATACCGTTTGTCATTTCCGTGCGCAAGCCACTTTTAGGGGAGCAAAAGTTGACCACCCCCCTGGATAGCAAATTTACTATTTCCAAAATTTTTTATATTTTCCATAATTTAAGAACTCAAGCAATCCATACATATCAAAAATTACATTTCATGAACGGAATTGTGGAATTGAGAGCAATTTCAAAATTGTCTTAATTTTTTTTATACACCCTGTATATGCCCATTGTATTTACAATTTCATATTCAGACCCCTCCCCCCCCCCTCTTTCCCCCTGACGATGTTGCGTAACACCTTGTGAATCTAACACATTACCCTCAACATTGTATGCGGGGGGGGGGATAGGTATGCTTAACAATTAGAGCACGTGTTCTTAATTTAACTTTATATCTGTTCTGTTTTTGTCAAGATATGACGATTTGATTGTTGGAGCGCCATTTTACAGCGTCAAAGGAGATGAAGGACGCGTCTATGTTTACCTCAGTTCTGAAATTCAATCAGTAAGTGATGAAACAACAGATTTGAAATAAGATCTGTTTGGGGGAGTGTTGAGTCTAAAAACTTGGCGTAAAGAAATTGTCACCTTTGTCTCACCCCATGCAACATAGCAATCTGTGATGCATTTGAAATTCATAGTTATTAAATGCGGTGCCCAAGTGAATTTGTTATTCTGTAAGTAGGTTAGCTTGTTCGGGATCATAAACCTTGGTGTTAGGAATTTGTAACTTTTCTTAACTTGATAATTTATGAATTATTTCACCCAAAAAAGTAAATAAAAGTAATTTACATAAATTGTCACCTTGGGAATAATATACAAAGTTCCAGGGACGCCGGAAAGTCGATAATTGGGGGGGGGCAGATATTCATATATTCATGTTCTGCATCATTTATTTCCTTTGAAAGCGATTGTTTTTACAGTCTGTGAACACGAATATATGAATATCTGCCCCCCCCCCCAATTAACAACTTTCCGGCGTCCCTGCAAAGTTCGGTCATTCTGTGAAATTTTGTGTAAACGTTTAATTGTTATCTTGTAGGGTCAAGGTCGTCGAGTGTTAACTTTGTCATCTGGTGAAAATAGTCTTGACCCAGGATTACGTGGTAGCAACACTAAAGGCGCGAGATTTGGCTGGTCACTTGCTAAAGCAGGAGATCTTAATAATGACGAGATCCAAGGTACATCGTGTTTAACAAACGAACGAACGAACGAACGAACTGTGCCAGCGTAGGTATTGACAATGAGGTTCAGATTTGACTTCTACTGCCGCTACCACTGGCTTAGTACGCGTTTGATTGATTAATCAGATATAGTAAATGCATCTGATTGGTTAATGGTCCCTTAATGTTAGCGGTAGGCAAATCTGAACCTCTGTAATAACACCAGAAAACTGGGAAGGGATTCCACTACCTGAAAAATACAAATAAAACTTCAACGTTTCGAGAGAAGGGCCTTCGTCGGGAAGTTAGGTATCGGGACATAGTTAGTGTCAAAGTTCAATTTTTCTGTTTGCTGATTGGTCAAAACTGTATCACGTGCCGGTCCACAAAACGTCATGTTCGGCAACCGGTCCACAATGAAACAATTATTGACCGGTCAATAATAAAATAGGTGCAATACGCATGCGTGTCAACCATGAAGTTCCAAAATTCATAAGGTAAAGCAGTGTGTTTTGTGGCCCCTCGACCGCCGTTGTTGCCCTCGACTTCGCCTCGGGCAACAACGGCGGTCTCGGGTCCACAAAACACACTGTTTCCCTCGGTCTCAGTAAATAAGTGATAAATGTGCTTGCATACCAAACAAAGGCAGAGTCTGATCACGAGAATTTACCAGAAAAAGTATAACGAATAGCCTTCGCTCGAAACGTCAAAGTTTTTGCTATATTTTCAAGTAGTTGTATCATCTGCACAAGTTCAAGATCTGATCGCAGAGAATCATCCATTTTAAAGAAAAGTTTCTGTAAAATGTGCTTAATGTGAATAATTTTCACTTTTAAAAAGCAGGTCATGCAAGGCTACAAAATATTTTAATTCTTTAGAAAACCTTGGGTAATATTGCATGCCAGTCTTTAAAGAGGAACCAAGTAGGAACTCCATAGAATTTTAACGTCCTGAAAAGAGTTTTTATATAAACAAAAGTAGAATTATATTTCTATACCAAATATTCACACCATGATCATGTGTTGTTGTATTTTCTACAGGAAGAACTTTTTTCTCGCATGCGATCCATTTTAAGCTGAGCCACTACTTCTTTTTTAACCCTCATGAAACGATCAAAATGCTGTGGATATCTTAGACTATCAAAATGCTGTGGGTACCTTAGACTGCATAGCCATACTAAATTGTATATTAATTATCAGTGTTCTTTTATTTCTAAGATTTTATTGTTGGGGCACCACAAGATCAACCAGATCTGGACGGTGATGGTTTTGGAAATGGAGCAATATATATTTATCATGGCAGGAGAGATGGGAAATTTGATAAATATCAACAGGTTTGTTTATTGTATACATTTAAACACGATATATACATGACTGTATTCCTTCTCCGGTGATACGTCAATCTCGTACCCAGAGCAGTGCCGCGCGGGCCAGGAAGGCATTGGCTCTGGGGAAATTGACAACCGGAACCCCTAAATTTAGGGGTTCCGGTTCTTTGTCGGCATGCACGATTGATAAACGTTAAACCAATCACAGCACAGGAAAAATTCAATTTCCCCAGAGCCAATGCCATCCCAGCCCGCGTACAGGCATTGCTCTGGGTACGAGATTGGTGATACGTAGAATATCACTAGCAGAAAGAAGCCGATAAACTTGAAAGAGTTTGACAATAGGTGTTTGCATAACACAGTGCCATCTAGTCGAGATCCACTGATCTGAATATTTCTTAATTTGTTTTTTCATTGTTTTGAAAATCTCGCTGTAGTTCTCATTTTTAGTGTGAAACTTCACAATATTGTGATTAGTGGGGAAAATTCAAACGAATCAGTCAGTAAAATCTTTTATTGCCTCCATTACGGTACTGAAGAGTTACAAAATATTTAAATATTAATTATATAGATAAAATATAAGAAAGCTGTCTTTAAGCTAATTTGCATATCAGTTACACAATGTCGACTACAGTCAATGAAAACCTCTCACCCAAAGGGTTCAAAGAGTGAATTTTGCATGCAAAAAGAAATGTACTCAGCGCATCGTAACCAAAAGTCAGTGTTCAGACTGTCCATGATTATAGCTAAACTCGCCGGCTTACCACCAGTAATTAACTGAACAAATTGGTCATCGTCCAAGAAATTAAGAAGTACCATTATATCTCCAGATAAGTTATCTGTGGTCCACGTCCACCAATAATACTCTCTCTGGTTTGCAGTGTTCATACAATATAGAAAAGCATGATGTACAGGATTGATCACACACCTTTGACAGAAGGAACAATAAAACGAATGCGAACAGTTATAGTTCTCAATCCTGATACCATCGATTCTAAGAGAGCCACAAAGCAGACGAATCACATCGACTACGATATTTGAATTCATTGGAGCAAAATCCCAGATTTCATACCAAAAACTAATGTTTAAATGTTGATGTGCTTGCATATACAGCTTTAAAACCGGTTTTTGGTTTAGTTTTTCAGACCAAGCCAACTCTTCTTTTCTTTGCACAGCTTCACTTACAATCCTCTTCCATTGCTTTTTCGTCGGAAAACTCTCTGATGTTATAAAGTTCGTCATGAAAATCATAAGTCCATACTTTTCCAAAATTCTAATGAGATCGGGAATAAATCCATCTACAGCGTCACATCTCCACTTCCATTTTATTAACCGACGTACAAATAATTTCTTGAAGGCTTGTGTTGAGCTGGAGTTGATGATACGACCCAAAAAATACAGCTTTTTCCTACTGATGTCCGTTTCTATTCTGCCAAGACCCATTAGGCCTCTTGCTGCTGATCCTGAAATGCCTGGAAGTAGCGATTGTGCTATCCGACAAAATATATTTTGGATTTTCTCAAGTTTAGAGAACTGTTTCATAGTTAAGTACCACAATTTACAACCATACAGCAGATGCGGAAGGGCAATTCTTCTCCACAGCTTAGTTGCTACCTTGGGGTTCAGGCCGCCATGCCGACACCCCATAGTTACCATCATATCAATTACTGCATAGCCTTTCTTCAGCACGATACCAATTGTTGAGTCAAACTTGTTGTTTGCGTTCCATATGATACCCAAATGTTTTTCCACGTTAGCACTTCTTTAATAGGTAGACTACCTAGAACCCAATTTCTTTCCGGTGTTGGAATTTTTCTCACTTTCTCTCCAAATACCATAGTAACCGTTTTCTTAATGTTAAATGTAACTCTCCAAGACCGACTGAATGTGTTTAAAATGTCCAAAAGATGATCTAACGCTGTTTTCACAACGTTGTGACGGCACAATAGAGTAATGTCAACGGCAAAAGTTGGTGAGCCGTAATAGATATTATACAGGAAAATTCCCCACTTGCTGTTTTCTAACTCAGATATTAAATCATTGATGTAGACTAAGAATAACCAGGGGGATATGATACCACCTTGTCTAGTACCTTGTAATGTGTTGTATTCACGAGAATACAAACCATTTACACAAACAACCTCTTTCATGTTGGTATACCAGTTTTTTATAATACCAGTCTTACCAGTAATTCCCATGTGATGGTATAACTTGTAAAGCATTGCGTCTATCCACATACGATCGAACGCTTTGCTGATATCAACAAAACATGTGTAAACCCTGTCCTTATTTTCACAGCAGTCTCTGATAGATTCGTCTATCATAAATTCAGTTGTTAATGCACTCTGCTCCGTTTGGTATGCCCCCTGAAGTCGGTGTATTTTACAATCAGGCACAGCTAGAATTCGGTTTAAGACCAGTTTTTGTAGAATTTTATCTAACACAGGCATTAGACTAATTCCACGATGATTATCAAATGTCTTCTTTCCTGTGATATCTTTTGGAATTGGGACTTTTACAGCTAACTTAAAGGAGAGTGGGATGTGCTCCACGCAGACAATGGCATTGAGCAAAAGTACTATGTGATGTAGAAGATTAGGGCCACCATATTTCACATGTTCGTAACAAATTGTATCGAAGCCGGGTGATTTACCGTTCGGTAGGTCATAGATTACTTGATTTACCTCGTAGAGTGTAAACGGTTGGGCGAGAACAGTGTTGCTCTCATCTTCGAGAAGATCCAATCGATGAATCTCAGATTCAATGTCCTTCAGGAAACCACTATCAAAGATGTTTTCATTTTCATATCGTTTAAACTCAGGCAAATCTTCAAAATAATTCGCCCACAAACCAGTGATCTTATGCGGATCATGCTCCATTTCATCACCTATCTCAAGATTAACGTCACTTAAACGTTTTTAACTTTTAAGCTTTTATTTTAGTATGTTTTAGTTTTTTTAATAAATTGATGGTCGAAGTTGCATAGTCTCTGATTTTTAAATTTATATATATATATATATATATATAGATATAGATATAGATATAGATATAGATCTTTAATCTTAAAATATATTTGTCGCTACACTGTGTTTCACGCTTCTTTCGAAGCGATCTTCAGGCGATTCTAATTTATATATATATATATAATTTATATATATATAATTTATATATATATAATTTATATATATATATAATTTATATATAATTTATATTCATATATTGTTATTTTGTAAGAGTAATAAAACTGATTTTGTAGTTTGTTTTGATGTTTTGCTTCCCAGGCTAAAGTGATCTAATGAATGTTGACGTTCTATGTGTTTGTAGAAAATAACTGCAGACACAGTGAAGACATTCTTCTCTAACTTCCAACAATTTGGCTATGCTGTAACAGGAAATGTTGACACTAACGGTGATGAGTACCCAGGTTAATATTGTTGACATATTTATGTATATTGTGTATCTTTCGAGGGTTTATAATTTTTGTTATTTTTCAGTCGTCGTATGCGTTTTGATTGGTTAATAGCTTACATCTAAATATGGCAATCATGCAACCTATACACATAACACAGTTATCTGCCAGCAAATAATTGAGTTATGTGTAGGTTGGGCAAGCGGTATGTAATTTAATAGCAAGCGGCAGTTTTAAATCCAACGGTGCAGTTAATTTCAAGTGTGTTTTTTTTTCATATCAACGTTATGACATCACTCCTTTGTAGGCTATATAGTATGTCAAAACTCCATATTTGGTTAGCTACTGAGTTGATATGATGAATTTCACAGTTGGCTGCTAGCCAAGTGTCAGTTTCGATAAATATAAAGTTTCTGAAACGTTATCTGACCTAAAATTTATTTAAAACACGAGCTTTCGTCTGCCAGCCAGAGAACGTTTCAGAAACTTTATTATGAATCCTGGTCGCGCATCTAGCATTTTTAATATTCGATAAAAATGTTAAAAAGGTTTGCTTTTTGCACACTACGACAGACATCACTAAATGTTTTGTCCACATGACATATTTTCACTTTCAATCTTGGGATTAAAATACAGCAACTGTTTACTTTCTCATTGCCATTACTCACCTACGGCCGTATTATCTTGTAAATGGGCCTTAAATATATTTTGGTTTTCGAGATTACTTGTTTTTACCAGTATTTCAAATTCTGTTTAGACATTGCTATCGGTGCTTGGCAGAGTGACAGAGTTCTGCTGCTAAGGTATTGTAAAAATAAGACATCATATTATATTCAAAAGCGTTTTCTGTTGACGGCAGTTTCTTGCCCGAATAAACCCAAAATAAACAACGTTAAGGTGGCTCCCTAGGTTTTTATCTTCGTATATATATATGTAAAATATCGCGCGTAACTCTTGTGACTTCAAAATACGAACGAACGTTTTTTTAAACAAATGCGTGAACTTTGCTTTAGTTAAAAGCATAAAAAGAGTTCTAAAATCGATACTTAGACGTGATGTTTCAGAAAAAGATAATGTAAATTTGTTGGTTTTTTTCAAGCGATATTCTGGCCGTTTTTGATCGCCGTACGCGAGGGTGGCATCGCGAACATTGGGATATGATATAAAGTTTTCTCAAATATTTGCAGTGTTTTCTGCACAATCTAGCAGCACTTCTGACAATAAAGATGACTTAAATAATGAGCCCTAACCAGTAATTACCTAAATATATTTGCCAATTTTTCATGCAATAATCCACGCTTAGTTAGCCTGCATGGCAGGCGGTACTTAGGTATTTCCTTTGACTCCCTAATTTTTGCTGCCTGTAGAAATACCACCTGCCACGCAGGCTAACGCTTAGTTGACCATTTTAATAACCGACAAAGTAAAACTGCAGTATATCAAACATAATTCATATTTTGTAATTTTAAAAAAATGATGCCTTGTTGTTTACGAAATGCATGCGGGACCCCACGCGAGAAACTATTGTACATGTCAGATGTGATAATTGTTCACGTCACATCTCGTAAAAAAGCCATAATTAAACTTAAATTTTTCCCTTTTCCTTCGTTAAAACTTTGCACATTTCTTAAGGCCCTGTCACACTATTGCGTATCGTACTAGCGTATGCCAGCGTATGAAAAATATCACTCGTACGCCGGTATACGCTGACATATGCTAGGGGTACGTTAGGCATAGGTTTTATACGTTTCAAGCACGGTCGCATACGGTGGCATACGCTGGCATACGGCGAGGCAGAAAATTTTTTTTAAGCATGTTCAAAAATTTTGTGCGTATCGGACGTATGGTTTATACGATAAGCATACTCTAGGCACACGCTGAATACGCTAGAGGTACACCAGATGTACGGTACTCATACGCTGGCATTTCAAAGGATTTTTGTGCGTATGAAAATTATTTCATTAATTTTTATACGCTTCTCATACGTTTCTCTCATACGCACTAGTGTGACAGGGCCTTAAGGGGCCGCGTCCATATTCATGTTGCCACGCTTAGCGTCAACTGAAATTGACGTTAGAGTGGGTGGGTGGGTTTTATCCTAACTTGCCTGACGTTTATTCGTGGCATAATGACAATTTTGTGAAAATTTTGAAGAATTTGATGTGAACTACAATGATGATATTTAAAGAATGTAATTTTTGCAAATATATCCATTCATTCAACAAAGAACATTAGTTTAAGGTTACAGGACACCCTTTTTGGCGTTTTGCGGAAAATCGCTACTGCGCGCTCAATATCAGTCCGATTTGAGTCAAATTTTCACCAAATGTTCGCCAGTGTATGCAAAATATGGTAAAGTTGTAAAATTAACAAACAATAAAATAATATAAGAATTATTCAGGAAAATCTTAAATCGCGGTACCGTTACGCTTTTGAGTTGTGCTCCTGGCTGCTGGTTCTAAGTTATATTTATGAAAATATCATTTTTATACAGTAAAATAGTTGTTCTAAAAAATTGTGTTCGGAATTTTTTTGTTTATTTCGTCATTCCGCTGATATGGCGATTTCTTTGACGACTGCAAAATATTTCTGAATTGTTTGAGTGAATTGCTCTTTATTATTAAAATATCCAAAATTAAAAAAAAGCCGAACACAATTTTATGTCCATATTCTATGTCCTGTGAAAACTTTAGAAAAATTGGTCAAAACCCGCAGGAGCACAACTCGTTTGAAAATCAGTAATTACCGTAAAATTCTTCGGGAGAAAATTGAATTTGAATATTACATTTTCAATGTTTTTCTTATTGCAGCGAAATGTATTTTATTTAAAAATAACTCTGCGAGTTTTCAACATTTTTCGTTCAAACTTGGTCAGATAGTAGAACTAGTCTAATGCTTTCATGGAAACCAATAAAAAAATTTTAGGCAAAATTAACCCTCAAAGGTGTTCTGTAACCTTAAAGTGCCTATGACACGAACTTTCACCCCAAATGTTTATGATTGCATTGTAAAGATCACTTAAAATGACTTAATAATTTCTTTTATAGAATTTTGGTAACTTGCTTCCTTTGCAAGATATTCAACTTTGTTTCATATGCAAATATCACCGGTGTGACATCACATCGCATAATGACATTTTGAAAACGCAATATTTTACCTTGATAAAATATTTTACAAACAAATACAAAGGGTTAATTACCAGTTATGAAATTAATACATATACAAGAGCGATTTTTAAGTTTTTTAGATACGTATTCGTCAAGAAGACTATACGTTTCTGAAAACTCATTATGTGATGTGATGTCACACCGGTGATATTTGCATATGAAACAAAGTTGATTTACCAAAATTCTATAAAAGAAATTATTAAGTCATTTTAAGTGATCTTTACAATGCAACCGTAAACCTTTGGGGTGAAATTTCGTGTCATAAGCACTTTAAAGAACGATTTATAGTTAATATAAAATAGTAGCGAGTGGAAAGTACAAAACTTACAAAAGTTGAAAACAGAAACTGAACAAGTGTTTCTGTGTTATTTAGCAAGTGTTTTATTTACAATATTGCATCTTACAAGTTGTATAGTCTGCTGGGTTATGTTGTAAAATTCCTAAAGATCATCAATTCATAATAAACTCTCGCTATTTCCTGGCTAAAACATGACTGCCACGCTTGACGTTAATGAGGGAGGGTGGGTTTACCTGTAACGTCAATTTGACGCTAAGCGTGGCAACATGAATATGGACGCGGTCCCTTAATATCGGCTCAACAAATGCAATAGCCTTTTTTCTTAAAATTCTATCGAAGGGGAATTTTTTAATATTGATTTTTGACTTTTATATTTTCTAAAAAACGTATCCATAGAATTTTTTAAATTTGAAGAAAAAAAATCATTATACCAGTATTATCTTTTATGGGCAAATTTTAAAAAAATTTACCGAACGGAATTTTTAAAACGGCCTGAAAAAGACAAATTTTGAGCTTTATTCTAAGCACGCTGTTGTCATGGTAACAGGCTTTCAAAACAAATATAGCAAATTCCAATGTTCAGGAGAGCATTATCAATGTGTCCAATACATTTCGTCTTCATGTCATGTAAAGTGAAGAAACAAGAGTCTCCTGAATACTATAGTGTAGTATAATGAAAAACCCTAGGGAGCCCATTTTCCATGCACATTCGAATTTGTTCGCGCGAACAGTAAAAAGTAGGAACTGATCCAACTTTTTCACGGCGAATTATTTCGCTATCACGTTACCAATATTTGTTTTTCGCTTTGCGCGACCAAATTCGCCTAGTGGAAAATGGGTTTTAGTAGAGAATAAAAACGTTCGGGTTGTCATAATGTTGTAATCGCGACAAGTTTCCAGCAAGATATTTCATACTTTTACGAAAAGATCCTCACTCGTATAAACTTGTTGCACATGGCTCAAGCAAAAATGTCGCTATGGAAACTAGTGGAGGACACTCGGGAGGGTGGAGGCGTCCCCTCCCCAGTCTCAGTAATTTAGAAAAGCCTTGAATGAGCCTGTGCATGACAAATCGGACATAATGGATCTACCACCGTGAAAGCATTCGTGGAGTATTATTGAAGCAAATTTGTGCTAAATTATAGCCAAATTTGTTTGAGAAATTTTTTCTGGAAGAGCAGGAATACATAATCTCCATACAGTTACATCAAAGCAGTCAGTGTAGAAACACGCAAGGCAAGTAATGTGCATACAGTTATATCAAAGTGGTCAGTGTTGGTCAGTGCAGAAAACACGCGATGCAAAAAAACACGCGGGAGAAAGCGAGGAGAGCAAATTTAATCATAAACTCGAGTAATTTTTATGGATGAAATTTTTTCTGGTCAGAGAACGACTCCTTTCAAGTAATTATACTCAAAATTCTGTGTCATCGTGGGCGCATTATTTTACTCCGGTTCTTGAATCAAAATTGTGAGTCATTGTGGAAAAGTGTGAATCTATTTAACTGTTCGTTTTTAATGCATATTTGTTGATGTAATTAATATTATATAGAAAATTTTAGATTTTTCTTGCAACGTATACGACATGTGAAAACGCTTAGCTGAAATGCAATCCTTAAAGTTGCTACATTTTGGTAAAAATGACATACTATCATCTTCTGCAGGACTCGACCAGTCATGGACTTGAAAGCAACCATGACACTGAGCAAGAATGAAATCCCTGTCGATAATTTCACGGCAGACTGTGCCGACAATACAAACCAACAATGGTAAGATGCGTCATTCTAGATCTTCAGTCGACGTATAGTCGTACCTCCTTGCATGGTACTACAACGGTTATTAGAGAGGTTCAGATTTGACTTAGAACTGGCTTAGTCCGCATCTGATTGGTTAATCGCATATATCAAATGCATCTGATTGGTTAATCGCATATATCAAATGCATCTGATTGGTTAATCGCATATATCAAATGCATCTGATTGGTTAATCGCATATATCAAATGCATCTGATTGGTTAATCGCATATATCAAATGCATCTGATTCTGATTGGTTAATCGCATATATCACAGGATGCGATAATTCGCGTAAGCCAAAATTACGGTCTGGTACTTCTTTGTTTTTAGCCGAGTACCACGTAGGTACACAATGATTTGCTATTCGCGTACTTACATTTTCCTTCTATAGCAATTGCTAGCAAATCTTTAAAGGTATTCAAAATCGTCAAGACTTTAGCTGTACATGTAAATTCCACACATCCGACATATTTTGGGATCGAACAATGTTGTCAACTTTGTTATAAGTGTTTTTGGCGTCTACGTAGTAGACGAAGATTAGAGAGTAGAGTGGAGGATTCACTAGTTCTCGAAGATTTCCGAATTACCTAAAACGTTTAGATCACATGAATGTTTTGCTGATCTAAAAGCAAAAATTATGGACAATTTTGTAGAAACAAATCTTTAATGGTATTTGTACGACATAACATAACAATTTCCAAAGCATTGTTGCGACTCGAGTGCCATCGCTCAGTTACACTAGATTTGACCGAGGGTGCTAACAGCCTAACCTCATCGAATCATTTATGGACATAGTGTTAACAATTAGCGTTGTTGGAAATCTTACGTTTTATTCCTGTTATTAGCAATCCATTAAAATGTTTATCATGCACTAACTAAATGAATAAATGTGGAGAATTTAGTTTTATGTGTGATATATTGCGTACTAGTATAAACGTATTTATTAAATATATAACATTGAGAAAGGTTTAATTTTTCCCGTCAAAGACCGTGCATGCTATACGTATGTGTAAAACGCAAGACTCGGAAGTAGCCTTAGGTACACCTTGACTTTTAAGTTTGTACCAGCTCTACCAGTCAGGTACGGCTAAAAATATTGAATTATTGCACCCTGATTAATCAAATGCATCTGATTGGTTAATGGTCGCTTAATATATTAACTATGCTTAATGATAACGGAGGTCAGATCTGAACCTCTATATTGCCGAGCTGGTATAACTTAAGACTCGAATAATTCATGCAAGTGAAATTACAGTCCTTTGAAATGCCCGAGAAGCACCAAAACGAGGCTAGTCAGACTTGTTTGCTAGATCTAGCAGAAACTCCGGTATTTTTAACATTACATTTCTCAAAGACAGTACATGCGTGATATTATATTTATACTTAGTGAAACTGCTTCATGTATTCTATAAGGCAGCAGTGATTACCCTGGTTGAAATTAATTTTGGAAAAAAAAAGAATGACAACCATTTTTCGAATTGGTCTATACTTTGTTTTTAAAGTGCAGGTTTCATTCAATATCCTGAAAGTGAAACTATGAGTTAAAATAAGGAGCACAATTGCAAAATACAAACACTACAACCGACTACAACATTCCATAGTCCCATCAGTTCAATCTTATTTCAGCCAAGGCATCTCAAACTTAAACATATACCAAATTAATCAATTAATTACGGTTTTGAATACCTTGAGCTTGGAAAGGTGATATATGCTGATATGCTACAAGCAAAAAGTAAATACGCAGATAGCAAGATTTCCTCGTACCTACGTGGTATACTTGGCTGAAAGCTTAGTGCTACTACAATCGTAATATAAATAATAAATAATTATAATAATAATTTATTAATTTATAAAGCGCTAAAACTATAAATATTCTAAAGCGCTATCATTACAAATTCAAATAAAATGTTATAAAGTATGAGATGATACCTATATATACATGTTTAAAATTTACTATTATATTTAAAGATAAAATGCCTTTTTTAAAAAGAAAGGTCTTAAGTCTGTTTTTAAAAGTTTCCACTGTTGACGCCTCACGAATGTCAGCGAGAAGTTCAAATTTACTATTATATTTAAAGATAAAATGCCTTTTTTAAAAAGAAAGGTCTTAAGTCTGCTTTTAAAAGTTTCCACTGTTGACGCTTCACGCGGTTTGTCGCAGGTCTGATAACAAGCTTGCTGCAGACTTGACAAAAACAACTCGCGACAGGTCTGTTGAAACAGGTTGGAACAGACCTGTTGATTTCAACAGACTTGCTGCAAGTTGTTCTATCAGACCTGTTATCTCTTGTTAGTAACAGGTTTGTAGCGGGTTGTTTCAACAAGTCGCTACGGCTCTGTTGTCAACAGCTTGCGACAGACATGTTACCGCAAGCACAGAATACTACACAGAAGTCCATCTCCATTGTTTTTAGCGTAAGCTCTATTCGTCATGATTCGTCACTCAGCAAGTACCGTAAACAGAAGCAGTCACCCCCCTGGACGTGCGCCATTTTTAGTATTTCCAGGGGGG